CACTGATGCCCAGTGGTGGCTGCAGATGTCACAGAGTGTGAGCTTAGTCTGAGTGCTCGTCCCTGGTCCCAGTCCCGCCCTGCACTTCAGGATGCCTGTTTCACAAGTAATCCTGATCATCTCTGTGGTAAAGAAGGGCCTAGCTGCTAGAAAAGGGACTCCTGGCGCACTTTGAGAAAGCAAGACTAGAGCCACGGCAGAGCTAGACTCAGCAGTCACTTGAGTCTGGAGAGGACTGTAGTGCCCCTGAGCTTCAGAATTTGAAAGATTAGGGGCTGGAGAGATGGCTCAGTGGTCTAAAGCACCTATTTGGAACAAGCTTGGAAAAGCACAGGGACCACGGTTCGATCCCCCAGCACCACATGCCAGCCAGTCGCGCCCCCTGGTGGGCTGAGCTGGCCACACACACACACTAAATAAATATTAAAAAAAAAAAAAAAAAAAGAATTTGAAAGATTAGAGGTGCTGGGGATGGAGCCCAGGTTCTTTGCATGCCAGGCAAGTGCTGTCCCAGCAGACTGCGCCCGTTTTCTGTATGGCAAGAGGCTCTGAGGGCACTAGTACCATCCCATGGCTCAGGGATAATTCGGACAGTGCCTGGTGGCCATTGCTGGTGGTCCAGCCCTCAACCTAGCACTCTGGAGGCTGAGCCAGGATTGTGAGTGAAGGCCAGCCTGGGCTACATCTCAGGATTTTTTTGGGGGGTGGCAGTAGTTTGTTTGATAGCCTTTGTTTAAGGGAACTGAAGAGAACATGGAGAATGTAATCAGTCTGGGCAATACAGAATATTCCATAGATTTTTTTTTTTAATGTGTAACACTGAGGATTGAACCCATGGCTTTTGCACTGAGCTGCACCATCAGGCTTTTTACTTTTTGAGATAGGATATGGCTAAGTTGCAGAGACTGACCCCAAACCTAGAAAATCCAAATGGGAAAAAGTTCATATCAAAACCTATCGCTAGTGATCACTATAGCCTGAAATCTCAGCAGGTCACCTTGATGTGTGTGACACTCTTTAAAGACTTTGGGCTGGGAGTTGGTAGAGCATCCTCACGTTTTGCCAGCATGTGGTAGGTGGGTGTGAAGTTTCGCACTTGCTGGGTGCTAGCAGTTCCAAGTCGTGTGTGTGCGCAGTTCTGTAATCTTTGGGTTACGCACAGAAGTGGTACCATTATTACCCCCAGCCTCCTGCAGAAGAAACGGGCACAGAGGAGAGTGACGTGTCCTGGTCACTCGGGACTGAAGAGCCAGGGTGGAGCCTGAGGGGTTTGCCCTGCCAGCTTTGTCTGATGTGGAAGGACTTCTGTCCTCTTCCTGTACAAGAATGTGTGGTGGGTGGTGCTCACTGCCCCACAGGACCACTGTTTATTGGTGCTTATGCAGACCTTGAGAGGATTCTGGAGCTTTCGGCACAGTGACCTCAGCTCTCCCTTCCCTTCTCCAGGCGCACCCTAGCCGACATCATCATGGAGAAGCTGACCGAGAAGCAAACGGAAGTCGAGACAGTCATGTCAGAGGCGTCCGGCTTCCCTATGCCACAGCTGGACCCCCGCGTCCTGGGGGTCTACAGAGGGGTCCGGGAGGTAAGAGCTGGGAGAGTCACTGTGGTGGGTCAGCCTCACCGGGGGTGAGGAGCACCCCATGTGTCCCTGGTTCCCGTGCGTCTCCAGTGGCATGTGTGGCCAAGAGCAAGCATCAGAGGTGTGGATTCAGGCTCCCACTGCAGGTGTGAAGTGGGAGCATGGTAAAGCACCTCCCTGCAGAGCTGGCATGACGAGCCCGCGTATCCACGTGGGAACAGCAGCCTGACGAGGCCTCAGCACGTGGCAAGCACCATGAGTCTTAATGGAGATGGTGACTTTGCTCCCTGACCCCAGGTGTTGTCCAAGTACCGCAGTGGAAAGCTGCCCAAGGCCTTCAAAATCATCCCTGCACTCTCCAACTGGGAGCAGATCCTCTACATCACGGAGCCTGAGGCCTGGACTGCAGCCGCCATGTACCAGGCCACCAGGTAGCACAACAGCATGGGGTGGCCAAGTCTGCGGGCCAGGACCAGGACAGAACATGCCAGCTATTCCTAGCATGACTAGCACTTGGGGGCTCCGTCCCCTGCAATCTCAGTGTTTCCTTGTGTCACTCCTTCCCTAGCTTTTTCCTCTTGCATTTTGGGAGCCAAGGCCTAGTGACTGCCCCAAAGACTGGACTAGGGATGTAGCTCAAGTGTAGAGCGCTTGCATGCCATGCATGAGGGCCTGGAATAGGTTCTATTCCCTAGCACTCCAAAAGGAAAGTCTCCTGTGCATCCGTGGCCCTCCTGGCCATTGTGAGCCGACTGTGGGTTGCATGCACGTGGCTCGCACACACCCCTCAGAAGGAAGCCTTCCTCCTTTTACCATGCTCAGTCATGCACAGTGACAGTTCAGGGCCCAGGACCAGGCTGGCTCGTGACAGCCCTGGAACTCCCACCCCGATAGGATCTTTGCTTCTAACCTGAAGGAACGCATGGCCCAGCGCTTCTACAACCTCGTCCTGCTGCCCCGGGTGCGTGATGACATTGCAGAGTACAAACGTCTTAACTTTCACCTCTACATGGCCCTGAAGAAGGCCCTGTTCAAGCCTGGGGCCTGGTTCAAAGGTAGGTGCCCAGGGACTGGCCCTGACTTGGGGCGTGGCTGGCCCAGGGAGTCACTGAATGGGCAGGGGTGCTTGCTACTGTTAATCCCTCTGCCCCTCCCAGGAATCCTGATCCCACTGTGCGAGTCGGGCACTTGTACACTCCGGGAAGCCATCATCGTGGGCAGCATCATAACCAAGTGCTCCATCCCGGTGTTGCACTCCAGGTAACCTTGGTGGCATGGAGCGGGAGGGCCTCCCTAGGCGGTGTTGCACTCCAGGTAACCTTGTGGCATGGAGCAGGAGGGCCTCCCTAGGTATCTGTCTGGGCAGTACCAGGACCTGGGTGTGGGGCCAGAGTGGGGAGGAGGAGAAGCTGAGAACATAGCCCAGGAAAGGAAAGAATTAGGGAGGAAGAAGCAGGTCAGGGTACAGATAAGGCATGTGGACACCAGGAGGTCCTCAGTCTACTTGGACACTGCAGGCCCTTCAGGCCAGGCCGCTGCAGGGTTGTGGGGCAGCCCGGTGTAAAGATGACAGCTAGAGTCCAGGGATTGTGATAATAAGATTGGGTGGGCGAGGAGGGGCCCTTGCCTCTTCTGGCGCTGGGAGTACAACAGCTGGGACTCTGGTGGGAGGGTGAACCGTCCCTCAGCCCTGCCTCCACGGCCCCACCCTTCCCCCCAGCGCTGCCATGCTGAAGATTGCCGAAATGGAGTACAGCGGGGCCAACAGCATCTTCCTACGGCTGCTATTGGATAAAAAGTACGCACTGCCTTACCGGGTGCTGGATGCCCTGGTCTTCCACTTCCTGGGCTTCCGGACGGAGAAACGTGAGCTGCCTGTGCTCTGGCACCAGTGCCTGCTGACCCTGGCCCAGCGCTACAAAGCCGACTTGGCTTCAGACCAGAAAGAGGCCCTCTTGGAACTGCTCCGGCTGCAGCCCCATCCACAGCTGTCCCCCGAGATCAGGCGCGAGCTTCAAAGTGCCATTCCCCGAGATGTGGAAGACATCCCCATCGCCATGGAGTGAGGACAGTAGTCACCTGCTCTGGTCCCTTCTTGGTGACCAAAGATGGCACTGAACCTTCATTGCTAAGTACCTTGATTGGGACAGTAATAAGCCACCGGGCATTTGTGGCTACCAGCGCTTGGCAGGGAAGACGGCTGCAGGTCCACCTGGGTCCCCCTTGCACTCTGGCCTGTCTCCCTGCTCACTCAGGGCCAGGAGTGGCTCCACACCCAGCATCCTGGCTCTCCAGCTAGAGCTGGCACAGTGCTTTCAGCAGCTTACTGGGTGCTGTCACATGGATAAAAACAAAGGCAGGTATTTATTGAAACTTTCAGGATTTTTTAATGCATTTGGGATAGTCTCACTATGCAGCTCGGACTCGAGGTGATCCTGCTTTCAGCTTGCCCAGTGCTGGGATTGTAGGTGTGCGTGGAGCACCACCATGCCCAGACTCGGTGGCCTGCTCAGCATACCCAGGGGCTGGGCCAGCACAGCATGTGGTGTCAGGAATCGAACGCCAGTCCCTGTGCTTGCCTGAGCAGGCGCTTAGTCTGCTGTTATCTTGCTGGCCCTGAAACTTCCAGTATTTGGTATTGTGTTTCTTCTGCCCTCCAGATGCAGGGAGCCATTAGGCTGCTTCATCCCGTCCTGGGAGTGGGCTGTGACCATTTGCTCAGGAACTGCACCCCTTAATCTACAGGCTTTCCTCTCCTAGGCTGTTCGCACCTGTGGGCCCAAGGGGAGCAGAGCACCCCTCAGCCAGGGAGGAGACCTGGAGGGAAGGGCGGGGAGCCATCAGATCTAGGTCAGCACCAAGCATGTCCTCGAGTTTCTGGTCAGTGGAGCTTTAGTCCAGTTGTGGGCGGACTAGGGCCAAAGAAGGGTTTTGCAACCAATAAAGTAACAGTGGCATTTTTTTAGGTGGTTGGGAGAAAACAGCATCTTGTGATCAGTTAGAATGAAAAATTAAAATTTCAGCATCCGTAGACTGTCATGAGGGCTGAAGGTGTCTTCATGTCCGTGCTGTGCACATTGTTGCGTAGCAGCCACCTACAGCCTATCTGGGCTCAGCGCCTCAGACATAGCATCTAGGTCCTGAGCATCTTTTTTAAAAAAAATCAAGTGCTTTGTCTTTTTTCTCCCCCCACCCCCTTTGAGCCGGTATCACTATGAAGTCCAGGCTGGCTTTGAACTCCTGCCCACATCCCCCTGGGGACACTTAAGTCCCCTCTTCACATAAGCTCTGGGGTCTGTCCTGCACTTATGCCCAGTGGTGATGTTTAGGAATGCACACATTATGGGGGGCATAGGGCACAAAGCCCTTTACAGAATCCAAGTTTCCCACTTCTAGAAGTAGGCTTTTTACCCTCGTGAAATCCCAAAGGCAAAGGCAGTTTTCTTCCAGAATCTTTATTAAGGCAGCACGGTGGTCCCAGGCCACCAGCCTGAACCTTGTGGCATTGGTTAGGAAAGGCCTGTGTCTACAGAGCTTGCCTCCCTCTCCAGTGGGGGCTTGGTCACCTCCCCTTTCTGCAGGAGGAAGGGACAGTAAGGGGAGAGGAGGGCAGGGCCCCAGCCCAGGCTGTAGCAGCTCCTGAGCCACAAAGCGCCGGCAGTAGAAGGGAGAGCAGCAGCACAGGCTAGGGCTCTGCCACTCCGCCGTGGGGCCGGCATGCCCGCTGCACCCTTACGGTTGTACTTGAGCAATAAATTAACACAGTTGCACTTGAGCTCCAACCCTCAAGCACAAAGAAGCAGCTGAGCAGGAAGCACAGCGAGGAGAGCGCCTCTGGCCAGTGCTAGGCCTTCCCTCGGGAGCAGCAGACTTCTCCGAGCGCAGCAGGCTGCTTTCAGCACCCCTCCAAACACAGTGGCCCCGAGTGGAGTAACATCTTACCGGGTACAGGGCATTTTAGTTCAGAGGTAACAGCCCCTAGGAGATGCTGGTGCGTGGACTCGCCCGCTCCCACCCAGCGGACATAGGTGGCCGGGCCCTGGCCAGAGCCAGGAAGGCGCTGAGCTGGCCAGGTGCAGGGAGAGGAGGAGCCAGGTGCCGGCAGGGCTGGGCAGCCCTTAGTGCAGAGAAAAAGGCAGGAGCCAGCCTCTCGGCTTTGAGGATGTGGTGACGACTGTTCCAAAGGCAGGGAGGGGTGGTAGGGGCTCCTCCACTGCGTGGCAGCCACCTAGGGCCTGTCCGAGGCTACAGGTGGATGGCAGTGACGTCTGTGGGCGTGCTGGTCTGGCTGGGCCCCTGGCTGCTGGAGCCCCGGGGAGCTTTGGGCGCGGGGCTGGGGGCCGTCTGGGAGGCCTCCTGAAGGCTCTCCCTGAGTGCAGCTTCAATCTGCTCCTGGCAGGCCCGTAGGCAGTCCTGGGGACAACAGGACAGTGAGGCCCACTCCTACTCCTGGGGCATGGGCGGCAGGTGCAGGAGAGGGATGCCTCCCATGCCATGGAAGGCCAGGGAGGTTAGGCCACAGCCCAGCCCCAGGAATTGGGGCTGCGTTTCTCAGAAACTGCTAAGAGGATGTGGCAAGAGGGTGTGACAGGAGCCTGCATCTGACACCGGGTCCCCCACCCCCGCTGCAACACACTTGGCAAACAAGGGGCACCTTGGGCCAGTGCCCTTTACTCCACCCTGACACCTGCTCCTCTCCAGACCAGGGCAGGAGATTAGGGCTTCAGGCCTTCTGGGTGTGAAACCAGGACCCAGGCCTGAGGGGATGCCTGCCGCCCTCTACTGGAGACTCTCGGAATAGCACTGCCTGGTGAATGAGCTCCAACCACTCACCACTTCTGTGCCGGTGATGCCGGCGAGCAGCTCAGTGAGCTCATCCCCGGATGTGGAGCAAGCGCCCAGGCCTTGCACTGCAGCCCCGATGCTGCCTGTCGCGATCATGGACGGCGGGTACATGGCGAAGGTATAATCTTTGGGAGGAGAAGAGAGTGCCCTGAGACAAGGAAGCACACAGGAAGGAGCACAGCCACTGGCCTTCCAAATGCTCAGTGCAGGCGGGGTCTCACTGGGGACTGCGCTGTGGGTACAGTAATACGGCACCAGAGGGAAGCCTGAAAGCCTTTTCTAGAGGATCAGGCTGTTTTGGGGCTGAGGTGTTACCTCCACCCAATCGCTGGGAATCAGGGGAACAAGAAATTTCCCAGGGTGCAGGGTGGCCCTAGCCAGGGACCAGAGAATGCCTGAAACCCCCCTGGTGTGAAAACCCAGCTTTACACACGCACGCACTTATTCTCACTACACCTCCAAGAGCCCACAGAGCTCAGATTAGGGTCTGCTTCTGTACTGCCACCAAGGGCTCACGGGATAGCATGCTCAGCAATGATTTTTAAGAGGAGTATCAACTAGAATTTCCTAGTTATTTCTCACCCTTCCAAGTTTTGATTTTTCCCAACTAGGCAACATGTGTGCAAGGCACGTACCTGTAGCACAGAGGGCCAAAAAGGTCTGTGCATGTTTTTTGACCAAGGCCTGTCGGTCACTGGGCAGAGAGAGCCGGTGCAGAATCAGGGCCAGGAAATCATGTGCGATCACTGCTGCCAGGTCCCACTTGAGCTTCCCCAGGACCAGCACTTCCCACTCCTGGGGTTAGAAGGAAGGGAAGAGTCACTGGCAGCACAGAGCAAGGTGGTGGAAACGGGGCAGAAGGCTCCCCAGGAGGGAATCCCAGCAAGATTCAGAAGCGCAAGGCCCATGTCTGCTGCTGCTGGTCAGGGACTGGTGCTGTGGAATGGCCACTCTAGTTCCTGGAGTGCCTACTACAGGTCACTAGGTGCCACTTCTGTGTACACTGCAAATTATCCCTTTTGAGCCTGATACCACCACAACACCACAAACTTGAGGTCCCCTGAGATGAAGCAGATTTTTCAAATCCCAAGGACCTGAAGAGACAGTCACCCCACTATCAGCCACCCCTCCCCAGCCCTGCATCCCAGACAAGCTGCTACTTCTTGAAGCAGCAGCAAGCATGAGGCCACTCCTTGTGACACTGCCACTGAGACTCTCGGGTTCCTCAAAGGGGAGGTTACCCAACCCAACCCACATCCCCTTGATGGGACACCAGGGCTGGGTCCTGGGGTACAGCACCCACCCTATTCCAGTACCACCTGACTTGGTGAGGAAGGTGACAGTCAAGCCACTCAGGGGGCAACTCAGGTGATCCCCAAGGGACCAGGCCCTATCCCCCACCTGCTGGACCAATTCCAACACCAGGTCCTGAGGAACTCCACCCCAGTCGCCTTGACAGGGCTTCCCAGATCTGGCCCTGTTTCTGAGTTGCACACTTGAGGATTTCTTCATTGTTTTATCTTAGGAAGGAACTGGTGGGTTTGACTCCTTACTGAGGCAGCAATGGTGGCCACACCCTACCTCTTCCAGGCCCCCAGCCACAGCTGTCCTCTTGGCCCCACCTTGGTATCAGCCCCAAGCCACTCCCAGTGCCCAGAGACAGGTGGGCTGTGGCCAGAAGGGAGCAAAGAAGCCAGCATTCTGCTCCCAGGCTTCTTCCCAAACTCTAGCCAGAGGTGTAGAGAAAGCACATAGGGTCCCAGAAGGCAGGTGGGGGGCTGGGTGTCCTCCTGGGGAACTGCATCCAAGCCACCCCGAGAAGCCTAGCCCCGCTCTGTGGAGCACATATCCCAGGAGGAACGAGCTGCAGGGGCCACCACACCCTGGCTGCAAGGCCACCTGGTCTCTCTCCTTTCCTTGGTCTTGACTTTCTCCCTTCAGAGGCTGACCTTACACCCCAGCTCCCCAAGGACTAATCCTCTTCTAAAAAACCCTTCCCGCAGAGGCACATCCACCACCCCAATCTTGTCACCAAGAGGAAGTCCTCTTCCACCTTCTAGATTCAACCCCTCGAAAAACTTGCTCCCTGGCCCTGGAAACCAGCCCCACCTTCAGGCTTTCCAGAAACTACCAGATTCATCCCAGAGCCGGGGCCTCCCAGATTCCCAACTCTGGCCTCCTACTCCCATCTCTGAGAGCTACTTGGCAGGAAGAGGAATCCAGTTCCTCCACTCCCAGCAGTCAGGGGCCCCAGTACCCTCATCCCTGCCAGCCAATCACAGCGTCTGCTTGCTGCCCTCCTCCCTGGGAGCCAGGGCCCCAGCGCCTCTGGGGTCAGGAGCAGGCTCGGCCACCGTGGGGCAAGATGAAGGGAGCTGCCAGCCAACCCACCCTGGGGAAAGGAGGCGTGCGCCCTCTGGTCCTCCCCCAGATCACACGGCTCCAGCCTCCCGGGGGGCAGGCAGAACTGTGACTCTCAGCCCTGCCTGGAGGAACCCGGGCCCCAGTTCCCATCGAGAGGCCCAAGGAGCCACTTCCCAAACCACAGGAGCTAGGGCAGCTCCCCACAGGGTTATGAAAGCTCTTGGTCAGAGTGGGCGGGCAGGGGGCGGGGGCGCCGCGCTCTCCAGCTCCGGCCAGGCTAAGGGGGAAAGGGGCAGACGTGGGGCCCAAAGCAGCTGCTTCGGCTTCTCAGAACATGGGCAGGGAAGGGTTGGGATGGAGCTGTGTGCTGGAGATGGCAGGGAAAAGAGCGCGGTGGGTGGGTTGAAATACCTCAGCACTTCCGCACAGCAATCAGGGCTGGGCTTTAATCTGCTGGGGAGCTTTTCTATCACAAAGTCCACCCGGGAAACTCGGGAGGAAGCCCCTCCCCTCGAGACGGCATTCTACTCCCCACACCGCGGGCTGTGCAGGCTTATGCCCTTCTGCTGCCAATAAATAACTCATTGTGCCATGCAAACCCAGAGGCTAAGTACTGGTAAGTATAGACATGGTAGCTAGCTGGCCACGCTGCTACTGGGGAAATGATCAGGAAGGAGGGACACCCCCGAGGTAAGGTAGGGTGAGCTCAGGCCTGCAGCTCCGCGCTGACCACCACAACACACTGCCCTTTGCCCCACGAATGGTTCTCTTTCCAAAAGAAAAGCCTCAGCTTTCTCGAGTCCCTCCCCAGGAGGCCAGAAGGCCTCCTAAATTGCAGTTTGCCTTTTCCCGGGAAGCAGGCAGCAGAGGCGCGCGGGGGTGGGGGAAAAGTTACCCACGCACCCGCATCTGGCAGGGAGACACCGCGTGGTCCGTGTAGATGCAGAGTTTTTCGATAGTCAGGGGTGTGGTCTCGCGCAGCTTGGAGGCCAGAAGCATGCAGACCGCGCCCAGGAGCTGCAGCTGCGCCTTTCGGGTGGGGACACAGGACAGGTAGCGATCCAGGTAGTTCATGGCCAAGGGGAAGACTTCCTCCTCGCAGCGCTGCTCCTCACACACCTGGGGAGGGCGCATGATCAGAGCTGGGGCTGGGGCTCAGGGAGCCACAGCAGCTATGGAGGTGGGGGGATGATGGGGGGGAGCTCCCCACAGGGACATGGACCAACAACAGAGGAGGATGCGTGCCCCCAAGTGGCCACTTCCTCTGCGCCTTCTACTCCCCGCTTCCCTGGGTGGGGGCCCAGCGAGGCGCCTTCCCCGAGACGATTCCAGGTGGAGGCTCCCCTCCTTCAGCGCGGGGGTCAGGGGTCCCCCTCGGCAGCTGGGGCACAGGACTCCACCCGCGGCCACCACCCCCGGCACACACCCAAGGGGAAGGGAGGAGCTGCGCCGCTGTCTCCCGCACTTTTCATTTCCCGTCCGCCGGAACCGCGCGCCCGTCTCCCCCACCCCCACCCCCACCCCGCGCGCTTCCTCGCGGAACCCCGCGACAACACTCGAGGCGCGACACTGGGGGGACGGTGGAGGGGTGGGAGAGTCCGGGGCGTAGATGACAGGAGGCGCCGATCACTGTGGGGAGGCAAGACGACACCGCGAGACGCCCGCCGCCCGGGTGCCGGCAGGGCCAGTTCGGTACCTCCAGCATCCAGTAGGCCAGCATGCGCCGCATGTGCGGCTGGATCTCCTTCTGCACGCACTGGAAGTAGGAGGCGCGCGGCACGTAGCGCTCTTCCAGGCGCAGCAGGCTGCGCAGCACGCGCGCGTCGTCCAGCAGCCGCGGGTCGGGCCGGGCGCGGGGCGCGTGCCGGGGGCCCTCGCAGCACAGCAGCTCCATGCTTGGCCCGGGTGGC